CCTCGGAAGGAAGGTTGGGGAATCCTACTTCCGTAGTGATACTGCCTCAGAAACCCAAGGAGGGGTCGCTATGAGCCGGGGCTGACTCCACGGCAAATAACAACAACAACAATCGTAGCCCCACCTCATTCTTCTGATCTCCTGGCAAAGGAAGTGTTGTTCATGGAGGCAATTAGCTACACATTCCATATCTTCTTCCTATTCCTCACACACCCTCTTCCTCCATTTCTCTAGGTGAATAGAGACCAACTGTTGCGCCTTAAATGGCCATTTGCAAGGATGCAGAACAAAAGCACTAAACACGTTAGTAAGCCAATAACTGGGATGTTCCATGAAATCATGACCCTAAACCTCCTAACCAAGGAACCAGATCCCATGAGGTGTTTCGTTGTCCATAAGCAACTCAGCAGCTACTCTTTTTTTTTTTTTTTCATTTTTTAATATTTATCTGTGATGATTAGGGTTATATTTTAACTTGGCTGGGCCATGATTGTCAGTGGTTTGGAGGTTTTATAATGGTACAGTCTGGCAGTTATGTAATGATATAATTTGTCAGCTATGTAATGATATAATCATCCTCCAGGATGTGATTTGATGTAATTAGCCCATGTGCTGTAAATCCTAATCTCTATGATGTTAATGTGACAGGATTAGAGGCAGTTATGTCAATAAGGAAAGATATGATCTCCAGGATTAGGTTGCATTTTGAGTCTATCTCTTTTGAGATATAAAAGAGGCCAAATAAGTGAGTAGAGATCAGAGGGACCTGACTACTACCAAGGAAGAAGAGCCTGGAGCACAGCACATCCTTTGGACCCAGGGTTCCTGCACTGAGAACCTCCTAGACCCAGGGGAAGATTGATGCCAAGACACATGGAGATCTCCAAAGAACATCAGGCCCACAGATGCTGAGAGGAGACAAGAACATTCCTCCAGAGCCAATACAGAGAGAAAGCCCATAGAGCTAGTGCTCTGAATTTGAACTTCTAGCTTCCTAAACTGTGAGAGAAAAATTTCTGTTTGTTAAAACCATCCATTGGTGGTATTTCTGTTATAGCACCACTAGATAACTAGTGGGAGTTCTGGTAGTGTAGTGCCTAAGGCTAACTAGAAGACTGCTAACCAGAAGGCCAGCAGTTCAAATCCACCAGCCACTCCTCAGAGGGAAGATGGGTCAATCTACTTCTGTAGTGATACTGCCTCAGAAACCCAAGGAGGGGTCGCCAGGAGTCAGGGCCGACTCGACAGCACATAACAACAACAACAGATAACTAATAATTGGAATGTGGAATATACAAAGCATGAATATAGGAAAATTGGAAGTTGTCAAAACGAAATGGAATGCATAAAGACCGATACTCACTGCCATCGAGTTGGATCCAGCTCATAGTGACCCCTCCTTGGGTTTCTGAGGCAGTATCACTACAGAAGTAGATTGCCCAACCTTCCTTCCAGGGAGTGGCTTGTGGCTTTGAACCACCATCCTTCTGGTTAGCAGTCAAATGCCTTAGGCACTACGCTACCAGTGCTCCCATAAAGACTGATATCCTAGGCATTAATGGGCTGAAATGGATTGCTACTGGCCATTCTGAATCCAACAATCAAATGGTCTACTATGCCAGGAAAGACAAATTGAAGAGGAATGGCATTGCATTCATAGTAAAAAAGAACATTTCAAGATCTACCCTGGAACAATTTGTTCAAAGGACTAATGAAGCACATAACCCCAGCATCCATGACCAGAAGAACTAGATGGTGCCTGGCTACCACTGCTGACTGTTCTGTAAGGGATCACAGTAAGAAGTCCTGGATAGAGTGGGGGAAAGTATGGAACAAAACTCAAAATCATAAAAAAAGACCAGGCTTACTAGTCTGATGAAGACTGACGGAAACTCCACGACTATGGCCCTTAGATGCCCTTTAAGCTAAGAACTGATTTTAACACCCATGACTCAACTGGCAGCCAAATGATAGTCCTATAAGGTGAACAGTAACTTCAGGAGGGTATGCCCTCATTAGCCCAATGGAGCATATGAGATCAAGATGGCAGCATGTACCCAGGGATTGATCTACGAAGATAGGAGGGGATGGGAAGGAAGAATGAAAGGAAAGGGTAGGCACAGGGAGGAAATAGGATGTATTCTGTTACAGTGTGGCGATTACAGTAAATGTCACCAAACAGAATGCATATAGATGTTGAATGCTCTGTAAACTTTCACCCAAATCATACACACACACAAAAAGATCTATCCTGAAGTACAATGCTGTCAGTGATAGAATAATACTTAAAGGAAGACAAGTTAACCAGTTACTACTACTAGTATTCAAATTTATACATTAACCACTAATGCCAAAGATGAAGAAATTGAAGTATCAACTTTTGCTGTCTGAAATTGATCAAACAGGCAATCAAGATGCATTGATAATTATTGGTGATGGCACTGTGGTTAAGGCATTGGGCTGCTAACCAAAAGGTTGGTGGTTCAAACCCCCCAGCTGCTTCATGGGAGAAAGATGAGGCAGTCTGCTTCCTTAAAGATTTACAGCCTTGGAAACCCTATGGGGGTCACTATAAGTCATGATCAACTTGATGGCAGTAGGTTTGGTTTGGTGATTGGAATGCTAAAGTTGGAAATTAAGAAAAAGGATCAGTAGTTGGGAAATATGGCCTTGGTGATAGAAATGAGACAGGAGAGTGCATGGTATAATGACCAATGACTTATTCATTGCAAATAATTTTTTTTTTCAATGACATAAATGGTGACTACACATATGGGCCTTGCTGTATGGAGTACTCAGGAGTGAAATTGACTATATCTGTGGAAAGAGATGATGGAGAAGCTCAATATCATCAGTCAGAACAAGGCCAGGGGCTAACTGCGGAACAGACCATCAATTGCTCCTACGCAAATTCAAGCTGAAGCTGAAGAAAATTAAAACAAGTCTATGAGAGCCAAACTATGATCTTGAGTGTATCCCACCTGAATTTAGAGACCATCTCAAGAATAAGTTCGATGCATT